GGTAGGCAAGGATAGACCTTTACAAAGAGCAGGAATTAACTCCAATCTCGTTACAGCGGGTCGACTCAGACACGAGTCTCTCAAGCGGCCAATGGGTAGCATGCAGAAGCTTGAGGAAAAGAAAGGCCACTAAGAAGCCTTCACCGAAAAGAAAGGCCAAAAGGTCGAGGTCGAGAAACAATTCGGCATCAGCACCGGAGGATAGCAATCTGAGTAATACCCTCACCGACCCTTACGATAGTCTGGAAGAGGGAAAGAGGGATAACTCCATGTTTAGAAGCCATACGAAGTTGCTGGATGCAGTGATAACGCACAAAATTGAGGACAACAACCAGCAACAACAACAGGACGATCTGCAGGAGCAAATATTGCAAATCTCGCAGAGCGCACAAATGCAGCAAATCCTGTTAAAAGGAAATAAGGAAGCGCTACCCTCAACCAGCAGTATTCCCGGTGTCCCTGACACGACCGAAAAACGGGGAAGAGGACGCACGCTAACCACGGGAGAGTCTGCTAAACGATTAGCAAGAAAGGCAAAAGAAGAGGAGGAAAGGGAGAGACAACGCGAGGAAAACATCCTAAATTCCCGTGTTATACCGCCCCAAACAAAATCCTACAAAGGATACTTAGAAAGGGTGCAAACAAAGACGGAGGAATATGAACAGGCCCCCATAGGAGACCTAGAAGCCATGGTCGCAGAGAAATCTATGGGCATTTACAAGGTGACAGTGGGCTCTGGGAATCTAAAGGGCACGCTGATGAGGCAAGCGAAGGAGTCAGCAGCGGACTTGTGCGCGGCAGCAACGGTTCTTGCGCTTAGAGCGCAAAATCCGATAGCCGAGCCAATAGATAGTCAGCTGCGGGAACTTAGGCAACAAGTAAGAGCCTTGAGGGTGGAGAATGAGCATCTCAGAAAAACTGTACAACAGTTAAGGATGCCCAAGAAACAGACCACAGCTTTATGGAGCAACACAAGCCAGGAGGAGGACACGGAGAATAACACAAGATCACTTCGGAGAAATCAATGGACGATCAGGACGGAAAAATGGATTGCCGAGAACCCACTTCCGCTCGAGGGTGGGGAAGTCTCAGGGGTCATATATGAAAAGGACGCCGGTCCATGTGCCTCCCCACCTCCACGCGGTGAGAGCTGGAAACGTCGAGGTACCCCCTCGGCGGCTAACGGGGCAATGGTTTCGGGCAGAGTGTGTGTACCGACATACATCTCTGGGCATTGGCGGGGTTTTTTAGCTCCTCCCTCGAGTGCTACGGTCACGCTCGAACGCCGGGCGAACGCTTAGGCTTGTAGAGCGAGGACAATTGTCCTTAAGCCGTGGCCGGGGGAGCTGGGGACTCTAAAGGTGCCTCGCGGCGCACTAGGCGCGAATCCGAGAGAGCTTTTCCCTTCGGATTAGCCGTCCATAGGAGGAGGGACCCATAGCTTGGCTCAAGTCCCAAATCTTATGGAGTAACGGCACGGGTGCTTCACTTGTGAAGCACTCACGGGGGGCGGTGGCTTGGGGGGAGACGGCTTAGCACCGGCGAGCCTCCTGGGAACAACCGTCTCCTCGCTAGTAGATTGCATCTCCAGGATGGGAGATAATCGGGTAGGTGCAGCTCCACCGTGGGACTCGGCTAGCAGTGATGTACCGGCGGGCTCGAGCCGTGCCGGGGTGATCTGCTGGCCTTGTCCTTTGGATCGCCTGGAGTTTGCTCGCGTGACCGTCTTCTCTCTCACCTGAAAGGGTGCGGAAGGAGGTGGTCGTGAGGATTGTGCTTAATCCTCCGAAAATTCGTAAGCACACTTACTTCGAGTCATTTACTTCGAGACACGGATGCCCACCGGGGCGCGGTGATGTCAAGTGACGGGACATGCTCCTAGAGGCTGACATCGCCAGCAACAGGGGTCCGCCTTCCCCCTCGTATAAAAACGCGGAGGCGGGGACACGGGTAGGGATGATGATGGTTGCTCGAGCTTATCTCGAGTGATCAGACATCATACAAACAGGGGTTTATTTTCTCCCTTGTATAAAAACGCGGAGGTAGCCGGGACGGAAGTGTTTCTGTTTGCAAACACTACCGGAGCTGCGATCAGCCGACAGCACGGGGGTCCGCCTCCCCCTGAAAAACCGGAGAGCGACTAGGGACTTAGATCGCGTGCCTCTACCGGGAGGCTCGGGTAGAATCCCCCGGTGCTTTGGCAACAGGGAAGAAGAGGGTTGTGCTTTACCCTTCGGAAATACGGAAGTACATTACTTCGAGTCACGGATGCCCGTCGGGGCGCGGTGATGTCAAGTGACGGGACATGCTCCCAGAGGCTCACATCGCCAGCAACAGGGGTCCGCCTTCCCCCTCGTATAAAAACGCGGAGGCGGGGACACGGGTAGGGATGATGATAATTGTTCGAGCTTACCTCGAGTGATCAGACATCATACAAACAGGAGTCTGCCTTCCCCCTCGTATAAAAACGCGGAGGCAGCCGGGCTGGGAGTTTCAGCATGGTAAACATTTCCAGGGCTACAGAACGGGGGTCCGCCTCCCCCTGAAAAATCGGAGAGCGGCTAGGGACGTAGATCGCGACCCTCCACCGGGAGGTCCGGGTAGATTCCCCTGGTGCTCAGGCAACAGGGGTAAAAGGGCTGTGCTTCGCCCTTCGGAAAAAACGGAGGCACACTGGGGTACATCGAGTCACGGATGCCCAACGGGGCGCGGGGATGTCAAGTGGAGGGACAAAGTCCTGGAGGCTGACATCGCCAGCAACAGGGGTCCGCCTTCCCCCTCGTATAAAAACTCGGAGGCGGGGACACGGGTAGGGATGATGATGGCTTTTCGAGCTTGCTCGAAGGGTCAGACATCATACAAACAGGGGTCCGCCTTTCCCCTCGTATAAAAACGCGAAGGCGGCCGGGGCCAAGATGTATTCAGCATGGAAACATCTTGGTACTAAGTGGCATGGTCTGAACAGTGGCGAGCACGTACTCCTGCGGAACTGATCTCACGTGGGCCGGGGTAGTGAAGGCACCATTACCCCAAAGGCGTACGTGTTGATCTGCACCTTCCTTTCTGCTGGGAAAGTTGTACCCTTAGGAAAAGGACTGTGCCCTCAAGGAGGTGGAGCCTCGTAACGAAGCTCTTTTTGTCCGAGGGTTCTACGGGAGTGGCGACTTTCCGCCAATACAGACGTCTGCCTAGTGGAGATCGTTCACTCCACTATAAACACTCGGTGAACGACACGCGAGGGTAAAGAGGGGAGATCTGGAAAAGGGTCCAGATATCCCTTTAAAGGGAAGAGAACCCTAGCAGAGGGAGACCTAAAGGGGGGCATTCGAGTCTTACTCGTCTTATTCCCTTCGTGGGTCGCGGCCTTGCCGTGGCAAAGGGGCTCACCCTTTGCAAGAGGATAGTCTTGCAAGGGGTGCCAACAGCGACCCGTACCTCTCGAGGTACACTGCCCCCGGTCCGGGGGGCACGCCCTCCGTCTCTGGGGGCTCTCCTTCGGGGGGTGGAAGATTTCCATTTTCTGGGGAGACGGGGCCCACCTCCCCGTTAGAGCTTCAGCTCGTATGTGGTAAGGGATGGCGACCCGAAATTCAAACGCCCGGTGGCATGACACCGTTAGGAGAAGGGAATGCACGGCGCTTCGGCGCTTCCCTTCCCACCATGCTCTGTGGCCCGGCACGCCTGCCGGGTAGGCGGCTTTTGCCGTCCGGGGTTTTTCCCTCTCCTCCGTCCTGGGGGGAGGGGCTCGTTTAGGGGTTCCCTTTGGGGGGTGGAAGGTGGGCGTCGGCGGCAGGGGCCACATTAGAGGGTGCCGCGCGCGACTACCCGAGAGGCTCTGCCCGGAGGGGGTCGCGCCGGCGGAGGGACCGACATGGTCACCCGAGGGGCTTTGCCCGGAGGGTTGTCCCAAGGGGCTCTGCCCGGAGGGGGCCATGTTGATCGGTCCTCGGGGCCCGTTCGTGGAACGGCCTCCGAGGACAGGGAGGTGCCTCAGGGTGCTGGTTGGGGGTCTCCAGGCTGTGTAGCCTGGGTCCCCGTCCCAGCGTCCCTGGGGTAGGCCGCACCCAGGCCGCTCGGACGTCTCCGAGGCAGGGCTGGGTCGGTGCAGACGGCCACGCGTGGTCACCCGAGGGGCGTGGCCCGGAGGGTTTTCCCAGGGGGCACTGCCCAGAGGGGACCACGCGGGTCGGCCGTCGAGGCCGCTCGGACATATTCCGAGGCAGGGCTCGACGGCGAGAGGGAAGTCGCAGGGCTGGTTGGAGAGCGTGCTCTCGTCCCAGCGTCCCTGCGACTTGCCATCCTCGGGTCGCTCGGACGTTTCCGAATCCGGGCCGAGGATGGCGGAGAAGGCGCGCCGCGGTTACCCAAGGGGCATAGCCCGGAGGGGTTACCCAAGGGGCATAGCCCGGAGGGTGCCGCGGCCGCCTGCCGCCGGGGCCGCTTGGACGTTTCCGAGGCGGGGCCCGGCGGCGAGAGTAGATATCTCCGGTCGGTCGGGACCGTTTCCTCTTCCGAACCGACCGACCGGAGAGGCGCTTGCCTCTCGAAAGCCTTCGACGAGGGGCGCCCACATATGCTGGTCGCCATGGCGTGTAGGGCAGGGCCGGGGAGCGGCGACCCTGTCCAAAGCGTCCGTGGGGCCCCCCGGGTGGCGCCGCCCGCTGCGGTACCCGCATTGTCGGAGGTGCGGGACCCCTGAAAGCCCGTGTGGGCGTCAAATCCCACACGGGTGTGTAAGGGGCTCGGAATCTGGCCGGGGTGCGGTATCCCCCCGGCCTAAGACATATGTCCCCTCCCCGGGGGAACTTGGGGCGTGGCCTTGGGGTGTGGCCGGTCATGTTTCGGGGCACCCCTTGGCCGGTGGGGGTATACCCTGGGGGACGGAGCCGCAGCGGGAGAGTGGGATAATTGAAATGGAGAATCTGAATTTAAACACCACAAATACAAACCAAGAAAATGAACGTGAGAAAGCTCTCTCTCACAGGAAGGGGCAGGTCACGATGGCACAAGTTGCCGCGGCCTTGCAAGAGACCTCGCCATTACAGAGCTCTCTCGGAATCTCGAGAGAACTCACAATAAGGCTGGAAAGGGTTGACTCACAAACGAGTATAACATCCTCGGAGGGCTCATTCATTGCAAAAAGAACAAGGGGAAGAGCTGGAGCCTCATCTTTATCAGGAGCCGATAGATCGAGGAGCCCCTCGAGATCAAGGTGGGCAGGAAAGATAGGGTCCCTCTCTGAATACAGCAGTTTTGATCCAGAACTGGAACTGGATCAGAGCAGCGTCAATACAGAAAGGGCGGAACTACCCTCCTTCCGCGAAATCAATCGAAGGATTGATAGAGAAATAAAAAAGCGAGGAGGGATACCACAACCACACCATCTGGAGGAACCACAAGAAGACGGAGACCAAGCTGAAGAGAGCATAATCCCCACCTTAAAAGAAAAGAGGGGAAGAGGCCGACCAGTCACCACAGGACAATACGAGATCCTGAAAGAAAAGAAAAGCAAGGAGGAAGAAGAGAGGAAAATCCAGAAAGAAAAGGGCATTTTGGATCCTCTCATCAAACCTGCGCAAACCAAATCGTACAAGGAGTTCCTTGAGAGAATCAAGGAAAAAGAGGAAGAGTACAGATATGCGCCGGTACTAGACCTGGAAGCAATGATCTCCGAAAAAAGTACGGACATATACAAGATGGCCGTACAATCGGGGAACGTAAAGGGTACGCTAGTAAAGCTGGCGAAGGATGCTGCGGCCGACATGTGTGCGGCTGCAATGATCTTGGCGCTAAAAGCACAAAACCCGCCGGAAATGCAAGTGGTGGAACAAATAAACGAACTGAAACACCAAATGCATCTCCTGAGGATGGAGAACGCGCAACTGCGCAGAATGGTTGAACAAACTAAACAACAGAAAAGGAAGCCCCTTGATACCGAAGCCCACCAAAAACCGCTCTGGGAGAAACAAGATCTCTCCCTATTCCAAGAACGAGGAAAAAGGACAGAGGAATGGGTTAGGGAAAACTCGCCTCCACCGGAAGACGGGGGAATCTCAGCGATCGGGATAGACCCGATCACGGAAACTCCACTTCCGTCAACAAGTGGGGAGCCCTCCAAAACCCGGGGGGGAGGAACTATTGGAAGGACACCTCTATCCAAGGATAGGGTCCCCCCAAAAGTTCCCGAGATGAAGAAAATGGAAGTGGACAATTGGAAATCGGAGATCTTCCAAGAAAAGGATTTCCCCCACTTGGAGAGGGAAAGAAAGGAAGAGGAAAGAAGGAGAAACAAGCCCCGATCCCTCAAACAAGAGGAAAATTGATCGAAATCACCGAACAACCCTCCCAAGAGAGGAACGAGGAGAGGCAAAAACAGGATGCATTAATTGCCATGATGGAGGGCATATGCGAACGCATAATGGACCAAAGGCTGGGCAACCCGATTCCCAGCTATAGCCAAAAAAAAAAAAAAAAAGGAGGCTGAGAGAGCGCAAAAGAGTGCGCCAAAAAAGCAAAAGGGAGTTGCACACCAAAAAGGGAAGGCAGAACCAGTCCCAGCAACAACGCTAAACCCACCGGCAAGACCCGCCCTGCCCAGGGTAAAGAAAATAGAGAGGGTCTCCGTAAAAAAATTCTCCCCCAAACGTCAAAAACAATAGGGGAGAATGGAGAGCAGAGAAATAAGGGAGGTAAGCCCCAATTGAGGGAATCGGCCCCACCACAACCACAACAACATCAACAGCAGCAGCAGCAGCAGTGGTCAACGGTGGTATCGAGAAGGACGGCACAAAAGGCGAAAGGGACCAAACAACCCCCAGTATCAAAGGCCGGGGCTCCCAGCCCTGCTACAGCCCAAAACGGAAAGCAACGGCCTGGACCCCCCAAGAAACGGAGGGAACCAAACACAGCGGCGATAACCAGAGAGCTGCCTTAGTCTCAAAATGGATGTACCCGACACCAACTTGGCAATAGAATAAGGGTTCAAACGGTACAAAGAGATTAACTTCTGGAGGAGGAGTTATACCTCTAAGGGTGAGTGGGCACATTTGTGTTTGTTGCGTAATCGAATTGATAATGCGTCATTCGCTCGTAGATCTTTGGTGAACCCGGCAGTTATCGAGAAGTTAGTAGTCGTCGGCAAAACCGTCGGTAATTGTTCAGTAAAACACTGGTAAGGTGCCAGTAAGGTGTCGATAACCCGTTGGTAAAAGAACGTTCGTCGGTATATGGTTGGTAATGTCGGTAAAAAGAACGTATGTCGGTATATTGTCGATAACGTCGGTAAAAGAACGTATGTCGGTATATCGTCGGTAATGTCGGTAAAAGAACGTATGTTGGTATATTGTCGATAACGTCGGTAAAAGAACGTATGTCGGTATATCGTCGGTAATGTTGGTAAATCGAAAGTGTTCTCAATTGATTATTGTTTAAATGACTACTTTGTTGTACGGATTTACGAAGTTATTTCTTGAGACACAAGATTTTTAAGAGATTGAACTATTTGCGTTTTTCCGTGTTAGAATTCCGAGGGTGGCACCGCATGTGGTGGTCGACCCTAGTTTTATAGCCCGACCTTTTTTTTATAGCTTCCGCAGTGACGATGGAAAAGAGGAAAAATGCGTCGGAGATTTTTCTAGAATGTTCTCTTCCACGTGGTAGAAGCGTCTCTGAATTTGCTAACACGCGCGATTCCTTAGGTTAACGTGAATTTCACTTACCTTTAGTAGCACTTTCTTGATCGTGTCGGCTCGTACTTGGAGGTAGTGCGTGCGGCGAGGGTCGTTCACTGGGATGTTTGGCGGCGGCAGGCGTCGTGGTTGGAACGTTATTGGTATGCACTTCCACTGTAGGAGTTCGTCGTTGTTATTATTTTTAATGTTGAAAATGTTCTCGTATTCAGGATCGGCCTGATATTCCACTCCGAGGAATTGAGAATATTCCTCGGTCGCTGATTCGCGATAAAGTCGGTTTAGTTTTCGTAATTGATTCTTCCTTCCTGCGCGTCGCGTCTTAGGCATATTGAATTTGATGCATCCTCTGAATGATTACTCAAATAAGGAGGGTTGATATGCGGCGGACCTCACTATCAATTCCTTATTTTGGCAAATGCTGAGAATGTTAATTCTGACTGTGATGAGCGGTGGTCCGCTCCAAACACAGTTTGAATTATTCTGAATTCAAACGCCGTATGACAAATTTAAACGCTATCGTATTTTATCACGGGAGTGGAAGTTTTGAAGAATACTGAACACTAGTTTTCACACATGAATACACTGATTTATTCGTATAGTAGTACAAAATTCGAGACTAAAACTTAGAATTAGAATTTAGATTTAGACTTAGAATTTAGAGTTAGAATATTATACTTAGAGTTAGAATTTTAGAATTAGAGTTAGGATTTAGAATTTGGACTTAGAGTTAGAATTTAGGAGTGCGACTATACTGTTCGATGTCGCGCAGAGAACTGCCGAAATTCGGGACTGCTCTGAGGTCCTTCGTTTCGGCGGCTCGGAACTGCGGCGGCCTGGAGAGGGGGAACTCTCCGGAGTAGGGGCTCTCACCGTGGTGGGAGATCCTTAGGCGCTACAAAGCGCCACGCTTAGTTTCTAGGCGGAGTTAAGCGTCATGGCCGGCTTTGGCGCGCTTTTCAAATAGCGTTTAAGGAACTTGGAGTAAACGAAAAAATTTATACGGCCGGACGTGACACCAGTGCATTTTTTTCTCACTGACTTTTGACTCTCGCAGACCACAGTGCAAACGACAGCGCACGCCGCTATCACGCGTACGCGTCGTGCATCTCTCTGTGACTCTCTCGATCATCTTGTTGCTTTTCGACGTTTCTAAACATTTAAAAGGTGCGCGACTTGCTATTTCGACGCCGCTATCACGCGTCCGCGTCGTGCATCTCTCTGTGACTCTCTCGATCATCTTGTTGATTTTCGACGTTTCTAAACATTTAAAAGGTGCGCGACTTGCTATTTCGACGCCGCTATCACGCGTCCGCGTCGTGCATCTCTCTGTGACTCTCTCGATTATCTTGTTGATTTTTGACGTTTTAAAACATTTTAAAAGGTGCGCGACTTGCTATCTCGACGCCGCTATCACGCGTCCGCGTCGTGCATCTCTCTTTGACTCTCTCGATCATTTCGGTGATTTTCGACGTTTCTAAAGATTTAAAAAACCACGCGATTTGCAATTTCGACGCCGCTATCACGCGCCACGCAATCGCTTCGTGTGAGAAAGACAGCCGATAACGGCTTAACGTGACGGTGCGCTAACTCGCGCTCGGACTCTCTCACTCTCTCTCGCGCGTCAATCAGCGGGCGCTTCAAGTCTGCGCGCGCGCTTGAATATTTCGCTTCAGTAGCGAATAATCGATAAACGATTCAACAATCCGGCATCGATAATCATGTCGAATGCCGTGAGTGACCTGCTCATCGAGCAGGGAGCTTGTATTGACGAGATCAAACGAGATCTCGTCAACTTCAAAAGCTGGCCAAATCAAACGTGACACTCGCCAAGACGCGAAGTAGGCTTGCCAAGTTGGAGGAGCACTGGGCCGCCTGCCGCGGCCTTCATGTCAAACTGCTTCAAAAGACGACCACAAAGCAGCAAACGACCTTGCCGTACTTCACTCTGGAAGAGTTCCTGAGAGCTGAGGATGTCTACATCGACACGGCCGATCTGCTGCAAGATACGATAAGTCGATTATCTCCTAATACAATTCCGTTTACCGATCGTAGTTCCAATTCCTCCGTTCGCGAAACAAATAATCATTGCTTCCAATTGCCACGCATCGCGCTGCCAAAGTTTTCTGGGAAATTAACCGATTGGGAAAACTTCCGAAACATTTTTGAATCTCTCGTAGTAACTAACGACGCTCTTTCAAATTCTCAAAAATTTCATTACTTAAAAACGAGCGTAACGGGAGACGCTTCCTTGCTGATCAATAATTTAAAAATTTCCGATGCGAATTACGAATCTGCCTGGCAATTGTTAACCAATGAATACGACGATAAGCAAGCGTTAATCTATGCTCATTTACACGCGTTTATTAGCCTTCCGGTAATGAAAAGCGAGATTGTAAGCGATTTGCGAAAATTGCGCGACACAGTGTCTGCATCGTTAGCCGTATTAAAAAATCTCGATCGTCCCGTAGAACAATGGGACGACATTCTTGTTTATACAATAACGCAAAAGTTTAGCGCGAGAACACGTACCGAATGGAATTTAACGCGAATCAAACGAAATGAGCCTTCTTCTTATCAGGAGCTTAATGAGTTTTTAACTCTCCGTATACGCGGATTGTCGGACTTTGCCGATTCAAGCAAGGACTCCGGTTCTTCGAAAAATGATAAACCGCGTTTAACGGTAAACAACGTGACTGCCTTTAAATGTATTTGTTGCTCCGGTGAGCATCACGTTTCGAAATGCGAAGACTACGCGAAGAAATCAGCTTCACAGCGCTTTGCTCTCGCGCGCCAGCATAAACTTTGCTTTAACTGCTTAAAGTCCGGACATTTCCCGTCGAAATGCCCGAGCAAATATCGGTGCAGACAATGTCGTCGCTCGCATCACACATTGCTGCATTCAGCGGCAAATCAAAATGCCTTCGATAACTTGGCCAGTTCCGAGGCTACTACCTCCGAATCTGCGTCACAAGCCGCATCTAAGGCGACTACAAATCAGACGGTCAATACGATCGCGGCCGTCCAGATAGTACCGCCCTCGCTTCAGGAACATCCAAATGTCCTCTTGGCAACGGCATGGGTCGACCTCCACACTGGGGAGGGTCGCTGCTTAAAGGTTCGCGCGTTGTTGGATCAAGGATCCACCTTTAGCTTTATATCAGAATCGCTCTCACAGGCGTTGCGCACTAAACGGCAACGAGCCGATTTACAAATTAAATGCTTCGGCGAAAAATACACGGGTACTGCGAAATCGCGCGTAACACTACAGTTAACCCCGTGTGCTCAAGCCGACCCGAGCTTTCCTCTGACGGCTTACATTTTTCAACGCATTACTTCATACGCTGCCTCGCGGATTCAGCCCTTCGATGCGTGGCCTCATTTACAGGGTCTATCTTTTGCTGATCCTGATCCTTCAAGTCAACATCAAATTTATTTGTTGATCGGTGCTGACCTTTACGGCTCGCTTCTGAAGCGCGATGTCCGTCAAGGTCCTATTGGAACTCCGACAGCGCAATTGACCGCTCTCGGTTGGATCCTTTCCGGCCCCACAAATAGTAGGCCGACTACTACTGCTCAAGCATCTGTATTAAACTGCGTGTTGGAACAAAGCACGCACTCTCTTCTCCAGAAGTTCTGGGAAGATGAGGAGATCTCGCGGCCTGTCCCCCTCACGGAGAAGGAGGAGAGGTGCGAGGCTCATTTCATCGCCAACCACTATCGTACCCCTCAGGGACGCTATGCGGTTCGATTGCCCTTCAGGCATGATTTCCCGATAAAAATCGGTGATTCTTTGCACATTGCAACCTCGCTTTATAATAAAATGGAAGGAAAGCTACGGCTTCGTCCTGAACTTCACGCGCAGTACAACGAGTTCTTACGAGAGTATAATTCGCTCGGTCATATAAGGAAGGTGGAATTATCTGACCGCTCCGAGTTCGAGCCGGTATATATTCCTCATCATCCCGTTTTGCGCGACTCGAGTTGCACTACGAAATTGCGCGTTGTCTTCAACGCTTCGTGCAAAACGAGCAATAAGACTTCGCTTAACGATCACTTACTGATCGGTCAGAGACTGCAGCAAGACCTCTCCGCTATATTATTGCGCTGGCGTCAATGGCAATTTGTTTACACGGCGGACATTGCTCAAATATTCCGCTAAATTCTCGTGCATCCGTCTGACGCGGATTTTCAAAGAATCTTATGGCGATCGTCGGCCGATGGGCCGATTGAACACTATCGCCTT